TGCCAATACTGGCTGTGAAGGTGGACTTGTTACACTTCTGGAAAGAAAAATTAACAGAAATCTTCACACTATTGGTTGCTCCTTGCATCAGAATGAACTTCCGTTTAGAGCTCTTTTTAAACATGTAGATGGTACCACAAAAAGCCCTACCACATTCAATGGTCCACTGGGTAAATTATGTGCAAATGATTACCATAATTTACCCCAAATATCATTTTCAGCTATTGGTAGTCCTCTGGATTCTATTTTTAAAATTGAAAATGCAGATACCCTTAGTTGTGACCAAAGACTCCTTTATGAATATACAGTGGGTATTTCTAGAGGTAAGGTGGACTCTAGATTTGCATCATGGAAAATTGGTCCATTAAACCAGGCAAGATGGTTAACTTTAGCTATCAGGCTGATGTGTTTATGGATTCATGGTAATTGCTCCGAGGAGCTGCTTTCACTGGTTCCCAGACTTCATGAATTCAAGCGTCCTACGAGGCTGGAATCCCGCTCTCACCCTTACACTGTAGAAACTTTTAAATGTAGCCGTCTTTTCTACTCCAATAGCTTCATGTTTCGCACCTCTCGCCCGTGGAACACCCTTCCTTATTACTGTTACCCTGAGAGCTATAATCTCCAACAATTCAAAATGTAATTTCAATCAACATCTCCAGTTACCTTGATCTATCCAGTATCCCTCTCCTCATTCTTTTTTCTATCACTCCTATCTGCTCTCGCTCCAAATCTTCTGCAACCCCCTGCATCCTAGTGGCTTCACGCCTTGCTCGGGGCGCAATGCTTAAAAACAAAAAAATATTTATATATATGTGTGTGTGTGTGTGTGTGCGCGCGCGCGCTCGAGTGCATTAAGCTTATGTAAAATCATCCAGCAAATAAAGAATTCTTAACTGTATATTTGCTGTCTATTTTTCTTGAGATAGTACACACTATGAACCTTTGCATACATCTAATAACTGTAGAAACGCATAAATATATTAGTGCTACTTTCGAAAAAATACGAGAAAGTAAAAATGATATTATTGTGTGATTTTTGTGTGAATGGTTTTCCTTATATGCCTATGTTAATATCTACATATGTATTCATTCTGTTTGACTTTGTGAAAATATATCGGCTTCAGTATGCATTTGTGCTCGTATTTTTGTCCACAAATATATACATGTTTTTATATCAATATCCAAGTGTATCTGTATTCATGTCTTTGAATACTAAAGGGAATATTAGTCGTATCCAGTCGCCTGAAGCATCTTGACTGCAGTGTTCGGCCATATTTAGTTTTTCCCGCTCGGAATTCAGTTTGATTTTATGCCTGCAGACAACATACCAATATACGAAACTTTCATATCATTGTTTGACCTCAAAACAACAATCCTGTAATATTAAGAAGATCGTTTTTGTGCTTTTGAAAGCGATCTTCTAGATAAGAAAGATTTAATCATTTTTTTTTTTATTTAGTAATCAAACATCTTTTCTAAGATATTCTTGACCAAGGACAATACATTTGCTGCAGCCGCAGTAAAAGTAGTGTTTCTTATGGGCAAGATAGCCTGACGGAGCCCAACCCTCTCCAGGGTAATTTGAATTCAGAGTTTTTCTTCTCCTAGATCGGTTGCAACCCAAGGCTTTAGAACCCAGTTTGTCCTTCTATTTATCTATAGCTAGAAAGAGAAGAGATGGATTCATATATTTCCCAAGGGTATTAGCACATAAGTGAATGCAACAAACTCGACTGGAATTCGAACACGGCTCCGGATTCCTCAACCCGACGTTATAGGAGCAGTTACATATATACCGTGGAGCTTGCACAAATACTTTTAATTAAGTGTGTTTTGACGACTGAAAAACATAAAATGAAGAACGAGGACTTGGAAAATTTGACGCAATCCGAACAAGGAGGCAAGAGGGAAAACAGTGAATAGCCCTACCAAACAAGATTGTCTAAATAATGGAAGAACATAAATTGGGTGGGATAACAAGGGGACAAATATTGATTAGAATCAGGAAGAACCACAAACTGTGAAAAGCCATCACCGCCCGCGTCCTGGAGTGATATAGTGCATAAAAGAAGAAAAACGCGAGATTAAATCTCTCACACGTAAAATTATTGCTTACTAACCTTCGAACTTCGTCAATTGATATCGGTGTGTAGATACGTGGATTAATGGTATTTCTTCCAACGTGAATCTTCTTCTCGCGATGATGTGTGAGACTCTCATGTGGAACTTACATCTCACCATTAGAATACGAATGAAATGGCGGTGGTTTGCTACAATGATGAAGGCCGGGAGGAACAACGATCGAAGATATTAGTCCGAATTTAAATAATGTAAATAGTGAAAACTCCTCATCCTGGAAATTCAAACAAAAATTAAGGTTTTAAGAAAGAAGCAAGCAAGCAAGAAAGAAAGAAAGAAAGAAAGAAAGAAAGAAAGAAAGAAAGAAAAGTTTGAAGTGCCTGGCATCCTTGTCAAAAATGTAATGAGCCAAATTCCAGGTCCTGTTAGCGGTTTGGTTATATTGATTGATTTTACATGTCACCCCTTGTGCTGTTATTTATGTCTGATTTTGACAAGAGGGCCCCCAATAAGGATTGAACATACTACTAACTAACTAAAATATATGAATGAAAAAACTATGATGGCATTATTGACAACTAGGAAGAAATTTAGGTAAACGAGCTGGAGTCGTGAAAATTCCACGGTTTTTGCAATTTTAATTTTCTGATGAATCCTAATTCTTAATTTAACGATTAAATAAGCTCCTTGCAAACTCTGTAACCATAAAATACCCGCGGAAATAACCCTATTATATCGTTATATAGTTGAGCTTAACTTTAACAAAATATTGAAATAACAATCATCTATATGAATGCATGTCACTATTTAAAGAAGTAAGAGGGTACAAATGAAATGGTCTGACGATAAACTACATCCAGTAGAAAGGTCTCTGATCGGGAGATTGGAGGTTTTGAGCAGCCTTGAACCACCTCTTAATTGTCGTTGTTCCCAAGTCCACCCTGACCCGGGGTATTAGTTCTTGTTGCGGTCCCAGCTATGGACAAATATTGAAAAAAACAAAAATCAATACATTTTTATAGCAAAATGGCCAGCGATACATTTTTTATAGTAAAATAACCGACAATACATATTTATAGTAAAATGACAAGCAAAATTCTTTTTTATAAAAAAAATTGCCAACAATACATTTTTGTCGTGAAATTATCAGCAATACATTTTGTTGGGGCGCACCCACCTTCTGACTAATAATGGACTTATCCCTTTACGATATAAGTCAGTGCTAGAGAGAGTAGAGGTGTAGTGTGAAGGTGTTGTGTGAAGGATCAGGTTATCATTAGATACCGTTGGACTGTAGACTTTTGCTATTGTTACTTACTAACCGGCGTTCCTTATTACTAATCACTCTGTTGTTAATTACCTCTTACAAATATACCAGTATTTATCCCTACAACTGTGTTTGTCTTTATTCAAATACATACACGCGGGAACACTCCCAACAACTCAACACATTTTATTATCTAAAAAATATATATTTAAACAACATACCTTTTACTAGGAAGGTATAAAAATATACGCAAAATATTAAGATGGCGGCACTGAATAACCCATATAGTTTGATATGCCACCAAACAAAAATCAACAAACAAACACAAGATTCAGAATTAACAATGTTTTCTATTTCACTTAAACCGCCTTTAAATCTTCCCTATTCTCTTTCATTCATTTTCTCACTGAAACCAAATATTGTTTTCCACGCGATCCAAACGGTATAGTCCATTATTTATGAGGTATTGGCTAGAATCATTTTGGATTATTCTAATATCCTTCCGACGTGTAGAAAATTAGAAAATATTAAGCAGGAAATACTTAATTTAACAATTAAATAATCTCCTTGCAAATTCTATGATTATAAAATACTCTACTGCGTCGTTAGAAATTCCACTATTGCGTCGTTAAATATTTGAATTTAACAACTTTAACAAAATATTGAAATAACAATCATGAATATGAATGCAGATCATTATTTAAAGAAGTAAATGGTTAAAAATGGAAAGATTAAAATATGGCATGATTTCCTATTTCACTGAAGCAGACGGTAAACACATGAGAGCTTTATCGCCTCCTCCTTTAGCTTCCCTTTCTTTCTTTCTTTTTTATTATTATATAAACGTTCTTTTTTTTTCACTAAAACCAGATAGCGTCAGTGATATATTTTGTTCTTACGTCTTTTCTTGCAATCAAAACGGAATGCTCTCTTGATGATGTAACGCATATTTCATTTTACTAATCTACTGAGGAAAAAATCATCAGAATTATAATATCGTAATAGACTATTGTAACATATCCTGCTACTTGGTTTGACCGCAGAAGTTCATAACGTTTTGCTCAAAAGAGCACGTCAGTTTTAAAGGTGATCAAATGAGAGCAAAGCACGTAAGCTGGACATAATTTATATACTCATGATTACACAGTTTTAATTATTGAACTATCAACAAGACACAACGAACAGTGGAAGTAAGAGCAAGTGAAGAGGAGATTTCACTCGACCTTGTCTGCCTCAGCGTGCGACTGAAGATGGTCAAAGTATTAATAAATTACGGCCATTGATTTGTCCATCAGTCTCATACATTGCATTTGTAAGAAAAAACTTACATAGAGAAAGATACTTATTTGATAAAGCAGCATTTTCTAGCACCCTCATCGATGAGTAAGAAATGATTGTATAGTATTATTGCACAGCAAAATTGAACCAGTCATTCAAATCAATATTTTGAATACAATGAAATTTTGTTTTCATCTTCTCTTTCCAAACCTGGACTAAAAAAATGGCCTGATGGCCCGAAAGCAGTCTAATAGAGGAACAATAAAATATATTTGAAAATAAACAGAATTGCAAAGAAGAAAAACATATTTGAATCCAAAAAGGAAAATATTATGGATTAATTCAAGAGACAGGGTAGAAAGAAAGATCTAGATTAGGCATTAAAGAAAGAAAGAAAGAAAAAAAGAAAGAAAGAAAGAATAGGAAAATGAACGAATGAATGAAAGAAAGAAAAAAGAAAAATAGTCGAAAGACAAAATACAAATAAAATAATGATGTAGAGAGGACAAAGAAAGAAAGAAAGAAAGAAAGAAAGAAAGAAAAGGACAACGAAGGAGCAAAAAAAGAAATTAAGGAAAATCGTCAAAAGAAAAATAAAAGAAGGATGTAGAGAGGTCAAAGAAAGAAAGGAAGAAAGAAAGAACAGTAAAAGAACAAACTGAGAAAGAAAGAAAGAAAGAAAGAAAGAAAGAAAGAAAGAAAGAAAGAAAGAATGATTAACGAACGGAAAAAAGAATCTAAGGAGAAATAGCCGAAAGAAAAATAAATGTAGAGAGGTAAAAGAAAGAAAGTGAACGAACAAACAGAGAAAGAAAGAAAGAAGGAAGGAAACAAATAAACAAACAAGAAAGAAAGAAAGAAAGAAAGAAAGAAAGAAAGAAAGAAAGAAAGAAAGAAAGAAAGAAAGAACTGAAAATGAACGAACGAACGGAGAAAAGAAAATAACAAACAAAGAAACAAAGAAAATTAATAAACAAAAACAAAAAGTAAATAGAAAAGAACCAGAGAAATAAAAAAATATGAGAAAGAGAGAAAAATAGATTAAAAGCAAGAAAGGAAAATTACATATGAGAAATTATATCCTAAACCGTTAATATTTGAAGAAAAATATTGACAGAATATTATTTTCTTCTTTCGCGCCATTTTCTTCTCTTTCAAAATGGCTGTTTTCGTTTTTCATACCAGATTTCACGTAGATTACTCAAACTGTCATATTTTGCGATTTTTTGAAAAAATGTGATGCCGTCAATTTTTCTTGTTTGCTTGTAATTTAATTTCTTTACCTTTTTCTTTGTGATGTGTGACACTTTTCTTCAGTTTGCTCGATTTGATTTATTTTTGCGTAAAGTTGATCATAAACGGAGATAAAATTTACTTCCCGTTTATCTAGCGTTGATCCGAGTAACTTACAGTTAAGCATACACCTACTTATATTTAACATATATTCATATTTCACCCTTCAGTATTATCAGCCTCTAAAAACACGTGTAATGCTTGTTTTTCCATGAATTATAAAGCGAAATACTTAAAAAATAAAATGCTTTATATCAATCTTTCTTGCGTAGCAGTGAATAGTGATATTTTTCCCGCTTTTATTTACATGTATAGATACAAGTTGGTATCAAAAAGTTTCCGGTCTAGTTCTGTAGCACGCCAACAAATGGCAACACACGATTGCGCGCGAAATTTGAACGAGCAGTGACCTACATTCAACCGTGTGCAGAGCGACATCGTTGCGTTCACTTCGCAAGTTGTGAAATTTGTTTTAGTGAACACGTGTACGCTGTATGTATGTAGAGATTTACTTGACCCCCCACTGAGTCAGGTTGTGACACAAGGTCAGTTTTTAACGTGGGGACCCGAGTGTTTTCACACGGGCCGCTGTTCCAAGCTGGTCTTAGCTGGTCATATCTTGTCCAAGCTAATCAGAGCTGGTCTAAGCTAGTAATAGCTGGTCATAGCTGGTCCAAGCTGGTCGGAGCTGGTCTAAACTAGTCATAGCTGATCTTGGCTTGTCATAGCTGGTCCAAGCTGATCAGATCCGGTCCAAGCTAGTCGCAGCTGTGATACCACCAGCACAGGGACAGATCCCTGGGCCAAGTAAGTATGTATGTGAGTACGGTTGGATCCTTCTCTCTTTTGGCAGAAACCGAGAGAAGAATCCAAGCGTTTGAGAACAAATGCATGATAAAAACCCCTTGACATCTTCTATTGGTAACATAAAAAATGAGTTTGTGCGGAAAAGGGTTAAGAGTTTTGTGGGCCACCAGAAACCTCTTCTCGCCACTGTCAAACGGAGACAAAATGGCGTGGTTTGGACACATTACATGGAACTAAAGCCTGTGCTGCAAGCCACTCATGCAAAGCGCCGTTAAAGGTGGACGTAGAAGACAGCAACACAAAAACAGCTTGGATAATGTCAAACAATGGACAGGTATGACTATCCCAGAATCACTGATGGCTACCGTTAATAGATGGTTGTGGAAGAAATTTAGTGTGGCTTCTGCATTCGGATCACCATGACTTCGAATTCCAGTCGAATCCATTACATTCACTTACGTGCTAATACCCTTGGTAAAGGTATGAATCCTCTTCTTGAACTCCCTCCCAGCAATGGGTAAATAGCAGGACGGACCGGGTTCTATAGCCGTAGGTGGCAACTGGTCTACCGCAGAAAGATATGGCAACTTACTGCGGGGAAAAAAAATGCCTCGTCAGTCATATATCGAAAGATCCATGATCGTCTTAGCGCGTATCATGCATGGCACATAACTGATTACAATTACAAAATGGAAAGGGGATGATGAGGAGGATGATGATGAGGATGGTGACGATGATGTATACTGTAGCCTTCGATTTTGTCATGCAAGAGTATGTTCATCGTTTTCTTCGACATCCGTCATATTGTGCATCGCGTATTTCCCCCCCGGGGCCAGACCGTCAACCGAGATTTCTACTGTAACGTTTTGAGGCCTTTGAGCGCGAACGTTCGTCGAAATCGACCGGATCTGTGCAGCGCTAAATGTTGAATTCTTCACGACGACAATGCACCCTTGTCCACGAGCTCTCCTCACTCGTGAGTTTCTAACCAAAACCAACATTGTATCCCTTTTCGCACACGCCCTATTCTCCAGATTTTGCGGACTCCTATCTCTTTTTCAAGCTGAAAATGCATCTCAAAGGTCGCCGTTTAACACTGTCGCCACGATCCAGAGCAAATCGAAGAAGGTCCTCAACTCGCTTACGAAAAAGGATTTCTAGGCTGGATTCCAAAATACTCGAGAACCGTGGGTCTGGATGGACATTACTGCGCAAAGTGAGTATTTTGAAGGAGATGATGTTAAAATTTAGGGAAATACATTGTTTTTTTTTTTAAAATCATCCCGGAAGTTTTTGATACCACATCGTACATAAATACGCTTCACAATTACCTGTCCTTTTTAATTCATAATAAATGTATTTTTGTTATCCATCTTAAATCTTCCGCTATCCATTTACTCCATCTTGTTAGGTAGATTATGTATTGTTTTCCTCTACACCAATTTCTTTCAATCTCTCCTGTGAGTATCAAATTTTCCAATCCTCCTTTCCTCATTACATGCCATAGTAATTTCAACTGTCCCTTGATGTTGAGTATAAATGTTCATTTTGTTCCCATTTTCTAAAAAAAACTTCATCGTTGTTCCGTCCATAATATTCTCAGCATCCTTCTGTAGAGCCATATTTCTGTTGCTTTAAGTCTCTTCTTCATCTGTGAGGAGATTGTCCAGTATTCCGAGCAACATTTTCTCAAAAATTTCGTCGTTGCTCAGATGTTCCGTCCATGGTATTCTCAGCATCCTTCTGGGGAAACATATTTCTGTTACTTCTGGTCCCTTCATTTTCTGTGAGAAGATTGTCCAGCAACACCTGTCATATAGGCGGACTGATATTACATCATTGTTCAGTACTCTTTTCTTTGTTTCTAACGAAATATTCCTGTTTCTTGATACTTTGCTTAGCATTTGGAAGGCATCTTTCCTTATCCCAATGCACCTTCGGATTTCAGTGTCGCACTTTCCGTCCTCTGTGAAAACACTTCACAAATATTTAAATCATTATGTGAGCAGTGTTATAAATAATTATTCGAAAACAATTATTCTAAAAAACTTTACTCCAATTGTAAATTGTTTGAATTAAAATTAATCGAAAGGACAATTATACTAAATGATAATTATTCGAAATGCAAAATTCTTTATTGCAATAAAAATGTAAAAATTAAAAGAAGAAATAAACAAATGATAATTATTCAAAATAAAAATATCGTTATTAAAATAATTTAGTAAGAAAAAATTCTAATAGCCTTAGGTTCTACGATACAGTACACAAATAGTCAACTACTAAAGTGTACTCGTTAAAGAATGATACTAATTTTTAAAGTTTTCCATTTACGTCGTGGTATTTATTGGCGCCCTTGATATCTTAGCAATCCGCTCTTTTGCAATATGAATTTCTTACCAGTCCTGTTCTCTTTTAAGAGCATCTAAGAATTGTGGAATGATCGACTGACACTTGCTGTTAAAAAGCCCTATGCCATCCTTCAAGGGCGTTATTAATTCTAGGTAAATCAGCATTGACTCTCTCAAAGAAAGGCCACATACGTATTTCAGATATAGGTATTTCGAATAATTATCATTTAGTATAATTGTCCTTTCGATTAATTTTCATTCAAACAATTTACAATTTGAATAAATGCTTTTCGAACAATTTTCTCGATACGATTTAAATTGTTGTAATTGTTGGATTTCGTCACATACTGAACGTTAACGACATTGTAAAATAGTTTGTATTTTTTTTTTAATATCAAATTTTGTTGTGTATGTTTATTGTAATAATTTGGTTGTCGTAAAGATGATCAGAGTTTCCCGAATTTCTTGAGAATAAGCATTTCTTGAGAGTAAAACCTCTTCTCCGCATTACAATATTGAGGCTCTGAAGACCAAATTGAAGAGAGTATCGGACAAAATATTCAAGGAAACTATGCATACTGTCATCAGTGATTTTACCGAGTCTTCGACGTGTGATAAAGGCTAAATAAAACCATATTGAATGAGACTTGTTTGGTGTTATTCAGCAGATTAATACTTACTTTGTGTTAAAATTGAGAAGTTTCAGGAGTTTTTCTTTTGTAACAATATTTATCCCGCACCCTGTAGTACCCAGGAAGATTAAATTGCGAAGATTAAAGAATCCACATGATGGGGATAATCGTAAAATAACCGCTTCTTGGTCCAAAATATTAATTTGAGATCAGGAAAAAAAAGTTACGTATATACCTCCTTACCCACGATCTCTAAGATCATCAAAATTTTCATAAATTTTGCTTGCCCGGTGGTGTCCCGGCAGAGCCATCTATTGTTCAACTTGTTTATTTGCTACTTAGGTAGTTATCTCTGAATCATTGCGGTTGTCTACGAATGTTACGCGCAGAGCGTGCCTTTTCATTTCCTGTACCACATGGAAAGGTTCCATGTCACGCTTGAGATACCGGTGCAGGTGTGAAGACACGCACTCCTGTGTTTGGTGGTCGGGGGAACCCCTATGTCAACTCTGATGCGCCCGACTTCCTTGATATCTGGCGCGAAATTTGAGAACAATACCTATTGCTCGGGATGTGTTTTGAAGAAAATGGGAATTTTTAAAGCTTGATGCAATATATAACTTTATTTGTATTTGCGATAGAAATAATCTTTAAAAAATGTTATAAAGTTTAATGTACCTAGTTTTAAGTATACCTAAAATAACTAATGTGATTTCAGACATTACTGTAAATCACTTGGCAAATGTTTTCCGTGAACTGCAAAATCGTATTACCCTTTGTATTGCTAATGATGGAGAACATGTGGAAGCTTAAATAAAATTTCAATAAAAACTTAATAAAATATAGATTTACTTCTTTCTAATCCTTTTTACAAATTATTTCTATCGCAATTACAAATAAATTTATATATTTTTCAAAGTGCACAAGAACTTTTGTGTCCATGTTCATAGTTGATATTACTGAGTGTTGTTTTTTTTGTTTTTATTAATACGGCTTCCATTATTTTTAGCCTTCTTTTTACATTTAGACGATGCTATTATATTTGTGCTATCTTGACCTTGTTTTGAAAATGAAACTATATAAATACATACATACAACAATCTATTTCTAGTTAACTTTTAATATATTTCATCCTTGAAAATGGCTACATGTATAGACGAAAGCGTCCAGAAACAACATTTGTACAGTTTTTATATAATTTATCTACTGAAAAGAAAAAAATTATAAGATCACCTGAGAAATTATAGAAAAAAAAACTTAATCAAAAGGGCCTTGTCTGTTGCATTTAATGAAACTTGCATGAAAGAAGGATTGGTGCCGAAATACACAATTTATATATATATATATATATATATATATATATATATATATATATATATATATATATTCACACGTTTCATTAAATAATATAGACAAGTGTTGTCTATTTATTTTATGTAATTTTTTTCGTAACATCTGATAAATTTAATAACATTATCGTTGAACGAAGAAAGAAATTCACAATATTGATCCATATTTTTTTAATACAATCTAAGCTTTAGGCTTACTTAAGCCATTATCATGGTCATTCTTTTCATTTTTTAGTCATTCTTTTCTTTTTTCATTCGTTCTTTTTTACAGTCATTTTTTTCATTTTTCAGTCATTCTTTTCATTTTTTAGTCATTCTTTTCTTTTTTCATTCGTTCTTTTTTACAGTCATTTTTTTCATTTTTCAGTCATTCTTTTCATTTTTAGTCATTCTTTTCTTTTTTTCATTCGTTCTTTTTTACAGTCATTTTTTTCATTTTTCAGTCATTCTTTTCATTTTTTAGTCATTCTTTTCTTTTTTCATTCGTTCTTTTTTACAGTCATTTTTTTCATTTTTCAGTCATTCTTTTCATTTTTTAGTCATTCTTTTCTTTTTTCATTCGTTCTTTTTTACAGTCATTTTTTTCATTTTTCAGTCATTCTTTTCATTTTTTAGTCATTCTTTTCTTTTTTCATTCGTTCTTTTTTACAGTCATTTTTTTCATTTTTCAGTCATTCTTTTAATTTTTAGTCATTCTTTTCTTTTTTCATTCGTTCTTTTTTACAGTCATTTTTTCATTTTCAGTCATTCTTTTCATTTTTAGTCATTCTTTTTTTTTTTCATTCGTTCTTTTTACAGTCATTTTTTCATTTTTCAGTCATTCTTTTCATTTTTTTAGTCATTCTTTTCTTTTTTCATTCGTTCTTTTTACAGTCATTTTTTTCATTTTTCAGTCATTCTTTTCATTTTTTAGTCATTCTTTTCTTTTTTCATTTGTTCTTTTTTACAGTCATTGTTTTCATTTTTCAGTCATTCTTTTCATTTTTTAGTCATTCTTTTCTTTTTTCATTCGTTCTTTTTTACAGTCATTTTTTTCATTTTTCAGTCATTCTTTTCATTTTTTAGTCATTCTTTTCATTTTTTAGCCATTCTTTTCTTTTTAATTCGTTTCTTTTTTCAGTCATTCTTTTCTTTTTTTACAGATATTCTTTTATTATTAGTCATTCTTTTCTTTTTTCATTCATTCTTTTCTCTTTCTTTTCTTTTATCTATCATTCTATTTCTTCTTTTCTTTTCTCAGTCATTCCTTTCTTCTTTCTGTAATTCTTTTCCTTTTTAAATATCTTAATGATAACACGCACAGAGTATGTCCAATGTTAAACGTCATACCTAATTAAGATGGTGACTTTTTCTATAAGATTTTTTTTTTAATTATCAAGTTTAAATAAACATTTTTTTGTCTGAAAAATACTGAAAATTTCTAATGCCTAGCAGAAATAAAATAAGTTGCTGTTTTGTGTTTCAGCCAAATATGTGGACGTGTTTTATTCTTTAGCCTCATGTCTGAAAACCGGCCATGTTTTCATCCAGATCATTTTTTTTCGAATATATCAGCTCCATAATAAACCTATAAATATTCGCCTGTAAACAGATACTCCTTTTCAAATGCTAAAAGACGTATCCATCTTCATTCGTTAACAGTAAAAGCTTACAGACATATACGCACTCAAACACTTAAACATTAAAACAAAATGAATTTCATACTGGCTTTAAAGCTGCATACGTACGTGTATGTATCTTGCATATATATATATATATATATATATATATATATATATATATGAAGGGCTGGTCAGAATTATATTTTTATTTGTTTTTTGAAATTACACATATTGCAATGAATTGATTTTACAGTACATTGAGAAACCGATTCCCAACAAATGGCGTCGACATCACAGGTAATCTAGTGCAGATGTTTTGTTCTTCTGTACGTTGCGTCCTCTCATGATGTGAGCAATCTTACCGCTCTAATCCGCTCCCCTTTTCCAAGCTCCCCCCACAGCCCCTTTCCGCCATACATTCACAACAGTTATAATCTTTTATCAAAATTTATGTACGGTGATTTTCTAAGCGGGGTGTAATGGTTAACAAGCTTATCTCACAAGTTCAGTTACGACTAAATAGTGAGTTCAGTCCTTACTGGGTGACCCATAGTTTCGGTTACTTGATTCGAATCAAAAGAAATGAAAACATCCCCATCAACTGTGCCTCTTCCCTCTTACGCTGTAACTCTCTACCCTAAGTGGCTCTTGAGCCTTATCCAGGGCGAAGATTATTGTAATATGTATATATATATATTATACACATATTATTGTAATATATATATATATATATATTATACATATTATTAATAATATATATATATATATATATATATATATATATATATATATATATATATGTATATGGAAGTGCTCATCGAAATTTACGCATGTGTACGCATATCAGAAATCATTTGAACACGATGCTGTATATTTCTGTATAATTCTGGCAGTCTTAGACAAGTTGAATCTGACAATAAAAATACAGAGAATTTGAGATGAACCCCGTCTCTCGTACTATTTAACCATAGTTGGGGAGAAAAGATTCATAGCTTTCCAAACGGTATGGAACGCTGGTTAACTGCTTTACACATATATATAACTGCTTTACACACATATATATATATATATATATGTGTGTGTGTGTGTGTGTGTGTGTGTGTGTGTATATATATATATATATAGAGAGAGAGAGAGAGAGAGAAATGATAGGTTGCGATGGGTAAATTGTCACCATTTTATAGCTTTAATTTCGCGCATGCGCGTTGCTTGTTTTTGATTTTGTCGGCTGCACTGTATAATCGGATCATTTGGGAAGCGTCTGTGAGAAAAAACACCACCATGACGCAATTCACTCCGCCAGAAATCTGGAAACGGCACGCTGTACTACTTGGCATTCGTACCGGAAGCTCCGATACGAACATTTCAGAGTATTTCGGTGTCAATCTGAGGACAGTGCAAATGATTCGGAAAGAGTTGGATGAGTCTAATGGTGATTATGAAGTTACGGCAGCTCGGAAAACTCACTGTTCTGATAAGTAAAGAACCCCATTCATCTTCACACAGTACCTCAGACTCAACACGGAGGCTTACATCATCTTTCTTAAAGAGGTAGTGTGGTCCTGAGTCAAGGGAGTGGCTTCTGGAAGACCCTATGTCTGGCAACAGGCCTCTGCACCATGCCGCAGAAGCTAGAGAACCCAGTTATGGCTGTCAGACAATTTCTGCGACCACATCAACCCTTACATCTGACTGGCAAACTCCTCAGACTAAAACCCTCCTTCATTATTATATGTAGGATGCAGTTGAGCGAATGTCCAACAAAACTCATTTTAACACCAAAGATGACCTGAAAGCAAGGGTTATAGCAGCATTCACCAACTTAAACAAGAAGACCGTCCAGAAGAGTTTCAGGAGATTCTGAAGTCGTTTGGGAGCCGTGGTTGACACTTTGGCGGTTTTATTGAATAGATTTACTCTTTAGTATTTCAAAATATTTTTCTGAAATTTTGGTAAATATATCTGTTAAAATGAGATGTTAGTGATATTTTCATTTTTACGTAATTCTGACGACAATTTATCCATCGCAACCAGTGCAGACGCGAACACACACATATACATATATATATATATATATATATATATATATATATATATAATTATTTATTTAAAAGTGTGATTCCTCCGCTACATAAGAGTTCTCATGTTTCAAAAAACAAGAGCAGAAAACTTCAATATAATTATTAAAATTAAATTAAAATACCAAGCTCTGTTTCATCTTCAAGCGAAATTTTAGGAATAAACTAATCTTGAAATTTACGCCTCTTTATAAGCATATTCATTATTAAAATTAAATTACTATGGAAACGGCTAGAGCAATTGTTAAAATAAGGGGCGTAAGGGTTAATAATTTGTATCAATATCTCAGTTACTTTCGGAAAGAGGTCAAGTCAAAGGTAGGCTTCGTAGTGTCTAAATTAAAGCGGAAGATATATATATATATATATATATATATATATATATATATATATATATATATATCTTTGAAAAATAGTATGACAAATCCGTTACGATTTCATTAGACTGGGCTTTGTTGATGTTGCCACGTCTACACATACACACGAAACGAGAGACGCTGGTCGTTTCAAAATTTTTGAAAGAATATGTTTTCAATCTGACCAAATTCATCTGTATTCTTTTTCTCTCCTCACTTTTGTCCCTGACTATCCTACATTGTGACAACAGGAAATCTACCAAGAATCGTGATATATTGTAAGAGCTTGGACGCAAATTTGCGGTGGGTGATCTAGCAATTAAGGCACTTTCCAGATATTTTCGTTTCAGTGGATTATTTTCTCTTTTGATTAGCATTCCCTATGTCAAAATTGTCGTCTGTTTTGTTATGGCGATCAACCAATGAGTTTTGTCTGTTGTTTTCTAAAATGCCCCTTTGTGTTCATATAGTCTTTTGTTTAAACTTCTTGGTATTTCTCCAATGTATCCATTCTGTCAATTCCTGCACTTGATAGAGTAAATTCCTCCTTCAAATTTTGGTTTCTTTTTTTGTTTTTTATTGATTATATCTTTGATTGCTTTAGATGTAGATGTGATAAATTTTATATTGAGTTTACATATTTTATCGGTTATAGTTGTGATTGTTGTGAGAGTTAGTGAGTAGAATAATGTATTCTTTTTATCCGTTGGCTTTCTCAGGAAGGACAGTTTTTCTATTTTGGAATATTTTATGAGCATTTTGTTTCGCATTGAAAATAAAATAGTTAGGGTCTTCAAGGCTCTTAAACGTATTTTCAATATATTTTTCCTTTTAGTGTAAATATTGTGGGCTGCAAATTCTGAGTGCGCTTAAATAGAATCCAGTCATCATTCCGGTTTTTATTTTGTTTTTATCATGGGAATAGAATTTTACTAATTCATTTTTATTGGTTGAATTTCGGTGGATACTAAGTTTTAGGCTGTTGTCAACTCGGTGAAAGCTAAAATATTTTTTTCTATTTCGTATGGTCATCAGTAAGGAGGATAAGCCCGAAATGCGATCTGAAGGTCGGGAACACTATAATCAAGCAGACGCGGAAGATTAAACATCTGGGAAGCGTCTTGACAGAGGACGGTAAGTGTGACACTGAGATCCGTAGACGTATCGGGATGACCAAGGACACATTCCAAAAGCTGGGCAGAGTACTACGAGACAGGAGGATTTCTTTGGTAACAACGAAAAGAATACTGAACTGTTACATGACATCTGTCCTTCTTTACGGCAGCGAATGTTGGACGAATTCCTCAAAGATGAAGAAGAGACTTGAAGCGACAGAGATGTGGTTCTACAGAAGGATGCAAAGGATATCTTCGACCGAGCGTGTGAACAACGCTGAGGTCTTAGAGAGGTTGCAAACAAAGAGGAGGCTTATAATTAATGTCAGAATGAGGGAGCTGAAGTTTCTGGGACACATAATGAGGAAGGGGAGCCTGGAGAATCTGATACTCACAGGACGAATAGAGGGGAAGAGAAACAAGGGAAAACAATGCATGACATATCTGACGGACTTAAGCAAGTGGATGACAGAACGTGGTCTGGTGGAGGAAGCAGAGGGAAGGAACTTGTTGGGAGCTACAAGAGAGAGAGAGGGAGGTGGAGAGATATGATCGCCCACGCCCTGAAAGGACATGGCACATAAAAAAAAGAATTCAAATGACGGTATTTATCGAATAAATTGTTTACAATGTAAAAATGTTTATGCACGATAAATATCACGTGATCTAAAAATCCGCATCTACGAGCACAATAGAGATTTGCTTTTAGCCAATCTTTCTAACTATTTCGTATTACACAAAAACAAAGCTGGCCATAACTTTAATTTTAATAAACCCACCCTAATAAAAAAGAACGTGATTCTTTAAGGAGAAAAATACTTTGAAAGCTTAATAATAACATTATTACCAGCTATAAAATTAAATCCATTCTTAAAGAATTTAGAGAATTCTATCGTGCGTTCGACTTTGTTAAGATTATCTCCGGTAAGTTAGAATCATGGGGATATATTAACAGAACTTCATCAATATATCGGAAGTAAGTTGATTGTTTAGGCAAAAATGTATTGGAAAGAAGTATACTCAAGAATTTCCAGGAAGGTAAAATATTAGCTGGACTCCCCTCTTTTGCGCGCCTAGTGAAACTCTAATAGGAACACGCCCCCTACCGGTTTGGATTTAAAAATTACAT